ATATTATTAATAATTCTTATTAATTAATATTTTTTTAATAAAAAAATATTATTAACAATTCTGATTAATTAATATATTTTTAATAAAAAGATATTATTAACAACTCTCATCGACTAATTTTATACTCACAATAACTGTCATCTTCTATTCTAATATAAACATCTCGATGCCAGTTTCGTCTTATTTATCGTGAACGATACTTTATTAGAAAAGTATTATTACTTTATAGACTACAGTAACCACTTGAATTACAATAAGCCTCAAAGTGAAAGAATACATAACGATAGTGACGCATTGTATTAACTGCTATGGAAGGTTCTGGTTTATTGGACAAACACTTTGATTTTTTTTTTATTGTAATATAATAGTGGAGAAGAGTATTAAAAATAATTGATGAGGTAGAATTATTCTCGGTAGTGTTAGATAATAAGATAAATTATACCTTCATCCAGTGTTTTAAAACCCGAACCGACCCGGCTGGTCGGACCGGTTGGACCGGGAACTGGTGGTCCAGCCGGTTCGAATCTGAAGTTGGATCGGTTATGCAGTTGACCCGTTTCAAACTGGATTGAACCGATCAATTTTCCGGTTTAACTGATGAACCGGTAGGTCAAACTGGTTCAACCACTTTTTTTTCTTATTTTTTTTTAAATTTTTTTAAGGGACCATAAATCACAAAAATAATAATGAAAATTGAATCTCTTAATGAAAAAGCAATGAGTCTTATTAAATATAACAATGACTACTTGTTCTAATATATTTGTTTACAATATATACAACTTAAATAACTTTTATAGTATATTATTAATTTTAAATTATATATTTAATAATGCAATATCTATGTAAATATTACATATATTATTTTGTGATATTAATTGCAAGCATATTATATATGTACATATTATTTATATTTTTAATTTGTATTAATATACCGTTTAACATGTAATTTTTTTATGTATTTTTTTACAAAATAAAAATAAAAATAATTTTAAATAAAATAGAAAAATTGAAATTCAAAATAAGATATGAATTTATTAAAATTTATGAGTATAAAATATATTTAATATAAATATTTTTTAATAAAAATCGAGTCATGCGGTTCAACTAGTGACCCACCTATTCAACCTTTGACCCACTGACCCAGTACCTTAACCGGTTCGATGACCGATCCGGTTTTTAAAACTATGCCTTCATCTTTTGGATTTAACGAAATTACATATGATGTTTGTAGGATTTAATGGTTGTGTAATTTTATTGCAAAATAATATTACACCTTTAAGTTTTAACTAATAAAAAAAATCACATCACTAGTAATATATGATTTTAAGGTAATTTTTTAAGAAATCAATAAATTTATCATGTATTATATTTATAGATAAATTTAAACTTTCATAAATATAAATATTAGTATATATTAATATATTTTTATAAAAAATATAAATATATAAGATAATATATATATATTAGAAGAAAGTTAATTAAAAACAATATACATCATTCGGTAGTACCGGATCAACAAAAAATATTAAATTTTAATTTAAAAAACTAAAATTATATGATTATGATACTAAAAAATAATAAAGTTACATAATTACAATATTTAACTAACAATTTTTTAATTAAAAATTTAGAAACTAAAATTTCACTCATGCTATACTTATAAACGTATTCTAGTCTTACAATCAAATTAGATGTTTGTTAAAGAATTAAAGTTGGCTTTAATTTCACTACTTACTGTTCACGTGTCAATAAATACTAATACTAGGTTGGGCGCGCAGTAATAAACAAATGGGATACATTTCTTGGATTTAGGCATGGGCGGGGTGGGGTGGGTTTTACATTCCTCGTTCCCGTCCCGCAAATTTAAACCGTTCTTGTTCTTGCCGCCGATACTTGTTGCAGATAAAATCTGGGTTTTTATCCCGTTTTTGTGGGGTTCGAGTTTTCCTGCCTTGCCTTCGTCCCTACTCTTATTTTTTTTAAATAAATATGAACAATTTAAAAAAAATAAAAGAAAAGTAAAATATTATAAATTTTTATATATAAATATTTATAATTTTGGTTTATATATATATAAATAATTTTTTAATTATATTATTAAGC